CCACCTCTGTGTGCGAGCAGCCAGCCTCCCAGGGGAGACCAACACGTGGGAGCTTCCTGCCCTCCACCTGCCTCCCAGGACCCATCCAGGCCTCATAACTCTGCGGTCCCCCCACAACCATCAAGTGTCCCCCACGACCATGCCCCATCCACCACAGACCCACCCCATCTGCCACAAACCCGCCCCTGGCCCCCATGATCCCGCCCTGTCTCCCCCTCTCCGGCCCCCCCCACCGTCCCCGCCTGCCCTACCAGAAAACAGGAAGGGGTGCGCAGTGGCTGCACTGAGAGGAAGTGCAGGAAGCAGCCCCGGGCGCGGTGCTTATCTCTGGCCACAGCCCCGACCCCTGGCCTCATGCCCCACACAGGCTGAGAAGGGGACACCGGGGTTACCTGCCCTGCGGGGAACAGGGCCTGCTCACCTGGCAGGGAGCCCTGCCACCTCATGCCCAAGCCACAACTGTCGCAGCTTGACAGTAGGGGGAGGTGACAAAGCAACAGGACCCAGTGAGGGTGGGCCCTCTCCCTGTACAGAAGCGAGCAGACGTCCAGTCCAGCTGGGAGGTGACCAGGGGCCAGGGAGGTGTCCAATGCCAGGGTGTCCCCCTCCTCCACAACCCACTGCCCTGCCCTGTGCCCCAGGTCATGACCTCATTTTCCCCAAAACAAGGACTCACTTCCCTAAGGTTCAGGGTCTCGGCTGGTTCTTCAGGGGTGGGGGCTTATGAGGGACATGTGGTTGTTTCTGTCTTGTTTACAAATCTGGGTCTCTTCCTAGGGAGGGGGCAGGATGGGGACTGTCCATTGGCACCCCCCAGGGTCCTGCAGGCCACTGGCAGGGACAATGGGATCAGGCACCTGGCACTCCCCACCCCCTAAGAGCATTCGCTTTGCTTCCTGGACTGAGGGACCTTGTTTGTTTCCACATCAACCGCAGCTGGAACAGACAGCTGACTTGCACACCTGCAGGGCTGAGAGACCCCACAATTGGGCCAGGCTCACACGCAAGGGCTGAGTGCCGGGCGAGGTGAGTGCACCTCCAGGTCTGGGTGCAGGTGCTTCCTCTGGGTCTGAGGGCTGTTCCGTGCCTTCTCAGCACCCAGAACCAGATGTAGGTCCTGGCTAACTCATGTCCTGTCCCACAGCCACAGCGTCATGAGCATGGGAGCTGCATCTGTCCAGGGCCTGGGCATGGTAGGTGCCTTTCCCACCACCTCTGCTTGCTCAGTGGGCTGGGGTGGTGGCCAGCGAGGGGAGGTGCCGCTGGAGCCCACAGGAGGACCCCAGGGCAATGCACAGGCGGTCTGCACCACAGAGGGTCAGAGCATCGGACTGGCATGGACCCCAGCCCTGCAGCCTACTGGCAGCCTGGGAGGCAGCAGAAGTGGGAGGTGGGGTGGGGAGAGGGCGGAGCATGTGAGCAGGGGGGTGGGGGGAACGCCCAAGTGGTAAAGTTGGGATTGACTTTCTGGTTTCCCAAATCCAGGCACTAGTTTGCTGGTAGCCCATGTTCCAGATGTTCTTTCAAAGACTCCCAGTCTGGGGAGGCCGTGGGACGCCAGCTACCCTTCAAAGCCTGCCTGGCCCCCTCCTTTGGGCTGCACATGGGGGGTCTGGCTCCCTGGCTTTGGGAAGTTGCACAACCCTGGCCAGTGCCCTGCAGCCCCATCTGCCACCCTGGCATGGCCACTGGGCCCCAGGCCCCACCTCCCTGGAAGCAGCTGAGAAAGCGTGTATGTGGGACAGGACACCACTGGGTAGTCCCTGACGCAACTGAGTGTGTGCCCCAGAAACAATGTTTTATGGAGGAAGAGCCAGGGTCAGGCCATCTGTCCAGGGCCTTGGCAGGGAGGGCGGTGTGTGCCCACCTGGCAGACACCGCAATCCACGGACACTCAGGGCCCATTCTCACTGCCTGCACTCTGTCCTCAGTGGCCCCGTGGCCAAGGGCTGTCTTACAGCTGAGTCTCTCCATCTCTGTGTTGCTTATGGTCAGTTCCAGGCAGCAAACATTTAATGAGCAGCTCCTGTGCTGTGGTGAGTGAGCCACAAAGGGGGTCCAGGTGCAGAGCCTGAAGAGCAAGTATCTCGGGGTCCGAGCAGGGTGCACCCAGCTTTCCCTCGAGTCTCTGTGTCTCTTGGGAATCTGGCTCTGCACCCGCCAGCAGACCTGTCTGGGTGGAAGACCCCCCACCCTGGACAAGTGCACTCGGCTCCAGAAGCCAGAAGCCCACCCCGCCCCGATCCTGTGTGAGGGAGACGGTGCAGTGGGTTGATGGTGGCCCCTAAAATGATGTGTCCACCTCCCAGAAACTGTGAGTGGGCTCTTATTTAGAAAAAGGGTCTTGGTAGATGTAATTAAGGAACTTAAGGTCCGAGGAGATGACCCTGGATTATCCAGGTGGCCCTACATCCAGTGGCAACGACACTTATAAGGGAGAAAAGAGAAGGTCCGTGAAGAAAGGGGCAGGGACTGGAGCAAGGCAGCCTCAGGCCAAGGGAAGCCTGGAGCTGCCAGAACCTGCAGGAAGCAGGAACGGGGCCCCTGGAGGGGGCAGAGCCCTACAAAACCTTGGTTTCAGACCACTGATACTGATTTTGGCCTTCTAGACCCAAGAACTGTGAGAGGACATTTCTTCTGTGGTGTGTTTACGGTACCGCCTGGTTTGTGGTAATTTGTTACAGCAGCCCTAGGAAGCTAATACGGACGATCTCTGAGATAAGGGGACAGAGCCCCAGATCCCCACACCCTAAATACAGGGCTATCAGGCAGTCGGCACGATGAGGACTGGGCGAGATGAGCAGAGCCTCTGCCCAGCACTGGGCATGTGCGCGGCCTCAAGAGAAAAAGCAGAGTGGACAGGGCAGCTCGTGCTGAGAGCGACTTGAGAGGGAGTGCGGGGCCCTGGGCTCTGCTGGGCCGGGCCTCTCAGGCCTCCCCCGCCTCCCAAGCCCTGGCCCCGACCCCCGCAGCATTCAATTTGCCAGGACAGACCACGATTAGACACTGGAGGGTCTGCCTGGAAGAGGGGAGCTCTGCCAGGCAGGGGGAGTTGGGGGCTTGGACCCCATACCCACAACCACACACCCATCCCTGCTGTACACACACCTGTATGTACACACTTCTGGGCAACCCTACAGCACACCTGTGTGTGCACACTCACACACACACACACACACATATACACGCTATGGGAGGAACAGTCAGGGCCGAGGTTCAGGAGTATCTCGCTCGTTCACGTGGTCATCGTCCGGGGCTCGGGGGGGATTTGTGTCCCCAAAGCTCGGAGACCTCTGCTCCCCACCCCAGCCAGCTGTAGTTTGCTTGAACCTGCCTCAGGCATTGTGGATGACTGCTGCTCACCCAGGGCAGCCTGGCTGCTCTCAGAAGCAGAAAGGGAGTGCTGTGTGTGGGCAGCAGCCACCACAGCCCGGGAGGCCATGTCCAGGTGCCACCAGGAGAGGAGTGCTCTCCCCACAGGCCCTGGGGCTAGGGTGGGTGCAACTGCCAAGCAGCCAGCTGCCGTTGAAAGGAAAATGGCCATGGGGGAGCCGGTCCCCCTCCTGTCCCTGCACTGGCCCCGGGAGTCTCTTACTGACCTTCTCCGGTCCCCAAATCAACTACCCCACACCTTCTGCTCCAGCCAACTTGAGCCTCTTTCCTTCTGTCTGCACACCTGCCCCACCACCACCAGGCTCATGGCAGGAGTCCAGCGATGTGAGGATGTGAGCTGTTCCACCAAACACCGCGTTCCCCAAGTTCAAGGTGACTCACCCAGGGCACTCGAGCCAGCACCGTGGGGTTGTCTGGACCTCTCCTCACCCACTTCATGTCCAAGCCCACCTCCCTCAGCCTTACCTCAGCCACAGGCCACCTGCACACATGGTGCAGGGACTGCTCTGGATCCTGACTCACACCCTCCTCAGCTTGGACCCCCCCCCCCAGCCCACACTGCTTGGTAGGTCTAAGCTCCTCCCCCACGTGCTTTATTTAGCGCCAGCTAGAGCCCCCACACCATGCCTGTCCTCACAAAGGGCCCATGCTGCACCAAGTACGCACACCATAGGCATCACCCACCGCCCTGTACTCAGAATGTGGCCCCCAGGTCAGCTGCACCTCATGGCCCAGGAGCCTGTGAGAAGTGTGGCGGGCAACTGAATGCACACGGAGGTCGGGAAGCTCTGCTCCCTGTTACTGCAGAGCATGCCTGGGGTGTGACTGCTGGGGGCCTGGGTCTCATCCCAGCTCTCACAGCTCCTGGTTGTGTGGTTTGGGGCAAGTCCTGGAACCTCCTGGGCCTCGTTTCCTCATCTGTAACACAGGGGCAGCAGTTCCTGCTGCAGAGACTAAACATGTCACACACGCACCGTGGGGAGTAGGCCTGCCCCAGCTTCTGTGCCCCTGCTGACTGCTCCCCCACAAAGGCCCCTCAGAGGCCCTGCCATCTGTTCTGCCAGGGTACCCCAGAAGGCAGACCTGCTTTGGTGCCTCCTGGGTCCATCCACCTGCCTGGGAGGGGCCTGATGAGAGTCACTAGGTCCACCAGGTGTCCTCCCTGGCCAGGTGTTCTGCTTCCCCAACATCTCCATAAGCTGTGATTAGGGAGGGGCCCGTGGACGCTCAGGCCCGCGCAGCTGTGAACCGGGGAGTCCAGAATCAGCCCCCACTTTGCCAAGCAAGCACAGGGTCCCATGGCACGAGTCAGTGTGTCCCTGTAAGGCCTGTCCAGTCCCGCAGAGAGGCTGTGGCCACCGCTCCCAGGGCGGCAGGAAATGGCCTGGCTTCCCTTCAGGCCCGCTTCCTTTATCCGGTTGTTTTGCTCCGAATCACAAAGCTCGGCCTTCCCCTCCCCTCCATTTCCCCCGTTCCCCGGTTCCAGAGCGCGGCAGGACGGATACGCCACGTCGCAGGGCCCGCGGGAGCCCCCAGGCCCGCCCCGCCCCCAGCCCCCAGCGGCCCCGAGCCGCCCCCTGCTGCCCCCTGCTGCCCGAGGCCAGCAGCGCCGCCCGGCACCCGCCCAGGGAGTGTGTCCCCGGGTCCCCCGCCGCCGTGTGGGTCCCCCCGGCGCCCCGGTCCCCCCCCACCCGACTCCGGCAGGCGAAGAGAGGGAGAATCGCAGCCGCAGCACCTGCAGTTTATTGAGGCCTCGCTCTGCGCACGGAGGGCGGGCCACCTCCGGGACCGGCTGCGGCCGCGACCGGGGCTCTCATTTCCAGGTCCTGGGCGCTCCGGGGCGCGGTGGTCCGCAGACAAGGTCCGTTCCGGCCTCTCCGCCCCGCGCAGAGCGCGCTAGGAGCCCTACGCGGCCGCTGCGCGCAGCGCGAAGAGCTTCTCCCAGCAGGTGGCGACGGCGTCCAGGGCCCGCAGCAGAAGCCGCCTCCGGCCGCCGCGGCGCCAGGCAGGGCGCGTCCCGGGCCGCCGGCTCAGCTGCCGGGATGGGGCGGTCAGCGAGGGCGCACGGTCCCCGCGCCCGCCCCCGGCAGCCCGCGCGTCCTGCCTGCCCCTGGGGAAGGGGTCCTGACCCGGCCATGTGCCCCCAGCCCGTGGGAAGCGCAGCGCCGCTGCGGGAGGAGAGGGGCCGGGATCCGGACCCGCACGCACTCCGGGACGCACACCTGGCGCGGCGTCCTGCAGTGGCGCCGCATCACTGCCTCCGTGCGCACGGCCACAGTCCACGCTGCCTTCTCCAGCGCATCGCGTCGGGCCCCAGGCACTGCACCGCGCAGAGTCTCCCCCAGAGACGCGATGGACAGCAGGATACTGTGTTCCTGGGGAGGGAACGGAGGAAATTCGGAGGTTGGGGAAGTGGCCCCGAAGGGGCTGTAGGACGTAGATGGGGGGTGGGCATCTGCTCCATACCTTCTGGGCTCTGCAGGAGGCTCCCACTGGTCGTCGCCGCTGCAGGGCTGCGGCCCCAGTCAGATTTTTTTGAATGACATAGAGGTGTCTGGAGCCTGGCCTTGTCCCTTCCACCCCTGGCCCAACCCGTCTCACAGCTGCCTGTAGGTCTTCAAAGATGACCGCACGGTAGTGGCGGAGCACGTCAGGGATGCTGCAGGTGTGGAGCCCAGCCCAGCTTGGCACCATCCCCAGCAGTGCCAGCAGGAGAGCCCAGAGTGCAGGCTTGGGGGGCACCTGGAAGGGACACTGGGTCAGGGTCGAAATTTTCTTTGGCCAACCCCTCCCGCCAACGGCTGGAAGGTGGGGATCTCTGAGCTGGTATAATTAAAGAGATGTTGCCATGACACTCAACAGATGTTCTAGGTGTGGGCCTGGCGGGACAAATCCCTGCCCATTTTAGGTTTTAGGGAAGAATGGACAAGAGGCCTGCAAAACCGGAGCTTCATGCTCGATGCAGATGTGCTGGCTGAGTGATGAGGGGCTGGGAAGGCCGCTCAGAGCCCTGAAGGGTGGGGGGCGGGGAGACAAAGGGTTCCAGAGGCAGGAGCCCCCAGCGCCCTGGTCTACACAGGAGCATGCCCACCGGGACACTGCAAGTGCCCTGAGCCGGGCTCTCCTCCTGCTGAGTACCCTTTACTCCCTGGCACTGCTCTCCCTACCCCCCTGCCCTGCCCCCCTTGTCCACGCCTGGCACAGAACTAATCTGCTCCCCTCTGTGGCCGGGCAGCTCCCACCTCTCCCCCAGCCCCATCAATGACTCTGTTACAAAGAGCTCTGAAAGCACGGGAAGTGGGTTTCCCCTGCACCCCCGGCCCAACCGGGGCAGGGGTGAGGGCTCACAGCTCAAGGCCGCACCCCTTGAGAGAAGGCTTGGGGAAACCCCCAGAGGCAAGAAGGGAATGGGACTACATGACACCCCACCAAACGTTCTGCTCATTTACAGGCCTCCCCCTGCCCCAGAGCGGAGGGGTTCTCTCTCTTGGGGAAAAGCCCAAACATCAAAAAGAGCGGGCACAGCTGGTCCCTAGGCTCCCAGCCCAAGAGCCTGGCCTCAGGCCCCCCAGGATGGAGTCTTGACAGCAACTAGAAAACCAATCATGTGAACCCAGCGAGATGACAGGACTCGGCTTCCCAGCCCCGGCCGGGGCGCCTGACTGAGCACTGCCATAGCCAGAACCCAGAGCCAGGTATGCACAGGGGCTCCTGCCTGAAGCCCCAGCAGCACCGGCTAGAGGGGGAGAAGCAACTGGCTGGGGCCCTTTCTCAAAACACTGTCCCCAGACATCCTGGGCATGACGGCTGACTCTGAGTGCCCCTCTGCCTGGGTAAGAACTCACAGCAGGACAAGAGCTGTGGTGCTGGAGAGATGCCCGAGTGGGGTGGTCGGTTGCCCAGGGGGTCCTGGAAGGTCCATCTGCTGCACCCACAGGGGCCAAGGCTCAGGCCAGCCCAGCCGGTGAAAACAGGGCTCCCCGGCACCAGGAGGCCGACTTGAGGAGCCTAGCCAGCTGCCCCCCACCCCCACTGTGGGATGGCTGGGCAAGAGCGCCAAGGGCCAGGTCTTAATGAACAGGAGTTTTTTGGGGGGGAGGGCGGGCCCAAGCAGCCTCCCTGACCTGCGGTGCATGCCTCCAGGCCCTCGGCCCAGCAAGCCCCTTCCCCAGTGGACCCCAGCTGCTCACCATGGGCCTCCCAGAGTCAGGCCCTCCCTTCAGTCCCGCCAGCGGGCCTCACACATGGTCCCGGGTCCTCAGGGAGGGGGCGCCGCAGTCACCAAGCAGGCACACAGGCCGGCGCACCAGGCTTTTGAAGTAGGCTCCTCCAAGCAGAGGAGGGAGGGGGCAGGGGGAGGCCCCGCTCCCAGCCCTGCCCCTCCTCCTCCCCACCCCTACCCTATTGCTGCTTCCATGAACCTCGGAGGCCAGGGCTCCCTTCCTATCCTGTGGGTCTTTGATTAAGACATCAGCCTCACGGGTATCTGTCCGAGGGGGTGGCATACTTGGGGGGGTAGTTGCCAGCTGGCCAGGGAGCCCAGCGAGGCTGGGAGGCCTGCCTGCACCCTTCCACCAGGTCCTTCTTTAGAGATCAGCAGGTGCTGCCTCGCCCAGGAACCAGGCGAGTGGGACCTAATGCCCACCACAGCCACCAGTCCCCACGCCGACATCTGGGGGTCCCGACCCAGCGCTCTGCCCAGGGGTGCCTCCCACTGCCTGTCCCTCCTGAGCTGAGGGGGCCTTTCACTAGGGGCGGGGGGTCACGGCTGCTTGCCCAGAAGGCTCTTGGGGAACCGAGCCACAGCACCCCATCCCCAGCAGCACCTCGGAACAGGGCTGCCTCCAGAACCCAAGCTGTCTGGCATCAGAGCTAAAAAATGCCAACCGAAGAGAAGCTGATCATCCATGTCCTCGGGGGAGTCGAGCCATCAAAATGCATTTGAGAAAACAACCCCCGTGAAGATGGGAAGATGATGGTCGCACTGGATAACTGAGATGCTCCCGACTTCCCAATGGTACCTAGGAGGCTAGAAGCAGGCCCTGGAGAGGGCACTGCCTACTCCAGGCACAGCAGGTGGCCAGTGTCCACGAGCCGCTGCCTCTTCCTGGACCTCGGTTTCCATTTCAAGCTCCTAGGAACCTCAGGACTCACTTTTCAGTGATGAGCAGGACCCCTCCTGCTTCTTCCCAGAGAGATGAAAGGCTTCTAGGTGCCGGTGGGAACCCCTCAGGATGGCCCCGCACGGCATGGTCCCAGGTGAGGAGCCAAGGACCGTGAACCGGCCCCGCCCAGGTCGCCTGGCTCAGCGTCAGCAGCACCTGACCCGGCACTTGGGTGGTCTGCCCCTGCCCTGGGCTGGTGGCGTCTGGGGCTCCCAGAACCTCAGCAGCAGACCCAGCAGGGCCGCGCTCTCCAGGCAAGATGCCTGTGCCCCAGGTGCTGACACTGGGGGTGGGCATTCCCTAACCTCAGCTGCCTCCAAGGGTGTAGCTGTGGGTCAGTGACTGCCCTCACCAGCACCATAGGCCCCTGTGGGGTTGGGGACAGATGGGGCACCAAAAGAGCCAAGCACCCATCTGTTCCCACAAGTGGCTTTTACCAGAACATGTGTGTCCCACAGCCTTTCTCATAAAATCTAAGGGAGCCATGGAGCTCCCCACGCTTCCTCTGTCCAGCTCACAAAGGGAGCTGTGGGGAGCCCAGGCTGGGGGACAAAAGCACGCACCAGGGAGGCCCAGAGAAAACCGCAGGCCGCCAACCCCGACACACACTACCTGGAAAACCTTTAATTAAAAAGCAGGACAGACAACTCGCAGCCCCGCCCCACCCCACGCCACGCCAACTCCTTCAGGGGCTGCCCTGAGGCCCCAGCCCTAACGGGACTGGCCGGATAGTCAGAAGGTGTTCTTGATGTGGGCCGCCACCAGCACGAGGATCTCCCCAATCTTGCGCTGCCAGTTGGTGATGTCCTTCGACACAGCACACCACAGCTCCCCATGCCGGGGCTCGGCGTTCTCACAGCGCCTCCGCACCTCCTCCCGCTGTTCCTGGGCAGGGATGACTGGGCACGTGAGGCGGCCTGCCCACCTCACACACCCAGCCCCAGAGCCCTGGCCCCACAGAAGGCAGGTCCCTGCTCCAGGCAAAGCTGTCAGATGTGTTCCTTCGGACAGCCCCTCCTCCTGGGCAGCCCCACCGCAGCCCACAGGACCCAAGTTCTCCAGGGACACACAGGTGCCCAGTCATGTCAAGCCCCCAACCCTAGGTCTGTGCCTCCCACAGGTGCCCCGTCGTCGCCTTCCCTGAACAAGGAGTGTGCCAGCTCACATGCTATGGGTCCCACTTCTCACGGGTGCCCCAGGACAGCCTGGCCACCCCCCAGCTCTGACCACACTCAGCTCCTGAGGGGGCTGCTCTCCTGGAAGCCGCACTCAGGCCCAGGAGGGCAACCCCAGGGCTTGGACTGCTTCCCCATTTCTACCGTGACCCCCATGTCCTAGTCACCAACCAACACATTCAGGAAATGCTGAAAGGCCACTAAAATGGGCCCAAACACCTGAACTTCAGGCTGAAAGGGTCGGGAGGGTGCCGCTACCCACCCTACCGCCCTCCCTTGAGCCCTCCACAGCGCGGGAGCAGGGGCGAGGCCACTCACCTCTGTGCCGTGCTGCAGCTCGAACTTGTAGAAGAGCGCCCAGGCGTCCCCCAGGTCCGAGTCGATCTTCACCGTGCGGTGGAACCACTCCCTGGCCTTGGTGATCTTCCGCTCACTCCAAAACAGCCTGTCCGGAGGTTGAAGGATGGGGACCCAGAGTAACAGCCATATGATGGGTGCTTGAGGGGTGGTGGGGGTCAGGCACAGGCACAGAGCCGGGCATGGCCGTGCTGGCCTACTCAGGCCGCAGCTCCTGTGCCGGGTGGAGGACGGGCCTGGGGATGTGTGGTGCCAACACGGGGCTCAGCTCTGGGACCACCCAGAGGGCCCCTGGGCTCCCACAGGAGGAATGAGCCTGGCTACCTGGAAATCTCACTCCAGCTCACTAACCTGGAACCATCCAAGCATCTAACCAAACTGTTCCTTTAAAAATCTGCACATACAGCCAGAACTTCAAACTCCTTTGAAAGTGGATGAAAGTAAACCTAACAAAAATTGAGTTTTCTGAGCAGGGAAAGCGAGGTTGGAGCTCACTCCTCAACAGACACTCTCTGGACCACCCGCCCCATCGGGCAGCCTCCAGCAGGAAGCCAGGCCGACACCGACGATGTGGGCCCGGCAGACACGCATGCCTGACACCAGGCCTGGGGCACGGCCTGTGCTGGAAGCCACAGCACCCGCACCAGGGCCCACAGGAGCCTGCCGCCGGGGGGCGCGAAGGCAGGACAGTGGGGTGGGCGGGGGGGGGAGGGCGCCATGGTGAGAACCGACCGCCTGGGGCTCTGGGTGGCTTCCCCTCCCGCCCAGCTCTCCCTCCCCGGGTAGCCAAAGGCCCCGGCGCAGGTGAGTCCACCACTGACCTGACCCATCCAGGCAGCTGTTTGGGCCAGTCAGTTACAAAACGAAATAATTTCATGCTCTGATAGCTTGATTGTTTTTTAAGCCTTGTGGTATTCTTAATTGCTTGGTGTTAGATAAACTGTTATTTAAAGAGTGCAAACTCAGATAGCAGGCACACAGAACCCCTGCCTGGGAACAGCAAAGGAGTGACTTATTTACTTTAGCAAAGCCTTTTATGAGGTTTTATGGGTGCTCTATCAGAGTGTCACACATAAAAGTCGCCCTGGGAGGTGGGAACCCAGGATGGCAGGGAAGGAGGGAGCCCTGGGCAGGCCCAAACGGGGCCTCGGGAGCCGGGGGGCTCCTGTGGGAAGCAGGGCAGGACCTGAGCAAGCGGGCCAGTGCCACCCGGGTGCATCTGGGGGTCTGGGACTCGTGCTCAGGTCGAGGCAGCACATGGAGCTACTGGGCCACATGCTACCCTGCCCCCATGCCCCTTCCAGGTGGGCCCTGAGCAGCAGCCCCAGGACCCCAGCCAGAGGCTCCCCCTGAGGACCCCTCCACCCACGGGTACCAGTTACCCGCTAGCCTCCTCTGGCCACACCCATGCCTGCCCTGCACTCAGGCTTACACTCTGTCTTCTCAGGCCACATCCTCCTACTAGAAGGGAACAGAGATCCTGTGAAGTCAGGATGGCCCAAACTGCCTCCCCGACCCTGCACAACTCCACCCGCTCTTCCTGAGGCCCTGAGCCCCCCCACCCGCCCAGGACAAGCACAGCTCCCCAGGAAGGCCCTGACTCAGCCTGACATGTGAGCTCCTGGTGTGGCGCCTCACTGACCTCCTCCTGTCCTGGAGGCCACACACCCTCAGGGAGAGCTGGCCTCTGGCACATGCATCTCCACACCTCTAGCACACCGACAGGCCTGCTCACAGGTCCTGGGTGACGCCCAGGTCACAAAGGTGAAATGGCCTGGTTTCCTGCCCTAAACACAGGGAAAATGATTTTCTTCCACATAGCCTTTTGAGCCAAAGGAGCTTTGCTTAATCACACTGTCTTGGACCAAAGTTACCAAGTTTGTCTTCGTCTTGCAACCCAGGGCATGTGTAGGTATAAACTAAAAAGGAGGCAAAGACAGCAGTCCCATCAGGAGCCCAGGACGGAGGGAAGGCAGCCAGGGGCTCAGAGGAAGCTGCCCTCCCAGGGGCGGGGGCCAGCTTAAGTACTCTGGGCAACACACACTCAGTGGCTCTGCCCAGAAACGTGCCGGCCCCAGCTCACAGCACCTGCGCTTCGTCACCGAGCTCCAGTGGCCAAGGACCAGGGAGCCCTCGCCATTCTGGGGACCCGCTGGAACCTGGAGACAGGGCCCACCAGACTGCCAGGTCAGCAACCCCATGAGGACCCCCCACTCACTTAGCCACAGCCAGGAGCACGTGGGGGTCATGTTCACACTTCTTCAGGGCATCGACACTCTTGGTCTTCCTCTGGGGCCTCGCCTCAAGGAAGATGGCTTCCGACCACAGCACCCCTGAAACTCAGACATAAAGACAGCTGCCTCAGGCTCAGACCTCTCCTTTCAGAGGCGCACGTCCCGCACAGGCAGCCCGAGGGCCTGTGGAGATTCTGACCAAGGGTGTATGCGGACCACCACCGTCGCTTCCCACAGGCCCGCAGAGCCACAAAGGCCTCCTGTGCCCACCCCACTGGGACCACAGCAGCCCGGATGGCACAGCTGGATGACTTTCTGGGGGCAACTAGGCTAGGAAGACAAGACAAACGACCATCAAGGTTTCATTTCATTGACTTGTAACTTCTCACCTAAGAGTTTAACAAAACAATCAGAAATGTTGAAGATTCATGCAGAAAGAGTAATATCTAATATCTGGCTAAAAATCAACCAAAAAGTAAACATAATGTTCTTCATGTAATTGTAGATTAATGATACCAAAAAAAAAAAAAAAAAATCAACCAGAAGATGGATGGTGTATCAATGGTATTTCCACACGGTTAATTCTATGAAGTTACTATTGAAACTTTTGACCAAAACAATCTGCACAGTGGGAACACCCTGACAGTCTGCTGGGACCCCAGAAGGCAGGCCCGGGAGGCCGCGGAGCCCTACCGGAGTTGGGGCACTCCTGCAGCGCCTTGGCCATGAGCGTGTTGGCGATATTCTTCAGCCCTGCGCGGTACTCCAGCCGCACAGACTCTAACCTGAGGAGGGAAGCCCAAGGGGAAGGTCCAGACCCCTCCACCGAGAGCCTGAGCCCAGCGCAGACCTGCAAGCTCCCGGAAGCCACAGCAGCTGGTGCTCCCCACACTGCCCAGCAGCGAGGTGCTGGCACCCACCCCGTTTTCAGGCCCACTGTCGGCGGCCACCAGCTCAGACCTGGGACCCAGACCTCGTTCAGGCATGAGTGAAGACAGGAGGCATGCAGGACGATGACAGGCCAGCATGCGGCAGCTGCCAGGACAGCAAGCACCCTGACGAAGTGGTGCGCGGGGCCTGCCCCTCCTGGTGTCTTCAGTGTCCCCCTCACGCTCCCGCCCTGACACTCACGCAGTTTCCTAGGCCTAGAACGCTACCCGCACCTGGGCAAACAAAGTCTTGCCCAGATGCTACCTCTTCTGCGGTGCATGCTCCTTCAGTTTCTCCCACCCCTGGCCCCCATCATCAGCTCCTAGCCCCCTGGGCTTCCTCTACCAAGGCACAAATTCAACTGCATTCAGCTCTATACAGGCCCACCTG